AGTAGTAAGTAGTAAGTAGTAAGTAGTAAGTAGTAAGTAGTAAGTAGTAAGTAGTAAGTAGTAAGTAGTAAGTAGTAAGTAGTAAGTAGTAAGTAGTAGTAAGTGGGAGCAACGATTCTCTTCTAGTTTCCACGACCAGACCGATGTTAATGACAAGTGGGACACGGTCAATCAATACTTGCAGGAAGTTTTGCTTTCCCGAGGTGCGTTGTGGGGACAGGGACCGAAGACAAGGGCAACTACCCCGGTTTTTTGCCCTAAGCAAATTTGTCCCACCCAACTGCGCACTTGTTGTGCTGCTACAAAGGTTTCGTTAGATGCATATAAGCTCATCAACAGACTTAATGAACTTGCCACGAGGGTCTCTCGTCTTCAGGGCTCCCCACAAGACGTGTTTAATACGAAACCACTTGCCCTTCGAAGCTATCGTGCCCACAGAAGGCTCAACTCCACGATTGAGTGGGTTGACCCGTTGCATCCTTCATTAGTTGAAATCCATTTCTCGAGGCGGTGGGCTGAGGGTTTTGCAATGACTCTTGATGGCCGTATACGCCTCAAACGCATTCGAAAGTGGAAAGAAAAGATCAAGAATTCAGAGCATCAAGGATATTCCTTCATCTTGCAGCACCTTCGCAACAAAGCTTCCGATGAGCCTCCCAACTTGGTTCAGAACGACCAAGGCCAAATTTTAACCCAACCTGAACAAGCCATTGCCGAGCTTAACAATAAGTGGGACGACATCTTTGCCTCTAATGTTCTTGCCGAGCATCCTTTAAAGATGTTAGAAACAGTTTGGCCATACATTTCTGACAAACAAGTTGAAGTCTCCCTTCCCCCCGATCTCTGGACCTGAGCTGTACCAGGTGGTCCAGAGGCGTAAAACCAATGCCGCTCCCGGCTTGGATGGTTGGAGAACTGTTGAACTTCAAGCCCTCCCAATACGGTGTTTTGAAATTTTGGCTATGTTCTTTCAAATGCTTGAGGACACTGACATCCCTCTGCCGCGTGCCTTGGTGGTGACAAAACAAGTAATCCTCAACAAACCAGGACCTGCCTCTCCTATTAATAAACGCCTGATCACAGTGCTCCCACCGTTGCTTTTAGCATACACAGGAGCAAGGTTTTTGCAACTCCAGAACTGGCAAATCCGAGCCATGCCGCATGGTATTGTTGGTGGGGTCAAAGGACGCTACATGTCGTCCCTCTACAACGACGTGCGCCTTGACATTGATGTTGCAAATATGGAAAACGATTCCATTGTCGGTGTTAAGCTCGACAAATCTAAGGCTTTTGACAGGATCATTCCACAGTTCGCTGCATGCCTTTTCGTCGCTTTTGGCATCCCACACAATGTTGTTAAGATTTTCCTCAAAGTTTACCAGAGCCTTCGTAAGCACATGGCATATAGGAATTGGACCTCTCCTGTTTCCACGACTCATGCGAACGGGGTGGCACAAGGATGTTCTTTTTCCATCCTTGCTATGAATGCATACAACAAGGTTTGGTACCACCTTCTCGAGCACCTGCCGGGCATTATTGTTCGGGCTTATATCGACGATAGCTATTTGTGGTGCCGCTTAAGGCAAACATTCAGCATCTCAACACCGCCATTCAAGTCACCCAAATCTGGGATGACCTTGCTGGTCAAAAACTGAACATCGCAAAGTCCAGCGTGTGGAGCAACACTGCCGAGGGAAGGAGTGCTCTTCGAACCAACCAACACAGGTTGAGAGACCTTATAGATCGTGAAATTCAGAGCCTCTATAGATCAATTTGGGCAGGCTATACCTGGGCGGGTTGGTTTGGACATGCTTGGATGTAGCGCATTCGCAATGTTTTGCTGGATTCTGTGCGATCAAAATGCTTTTTATAAGCAAAAGTGCAATATGGTGACCCGCCTCCAGTGTAAATGCAAATGTCATATAATTCTCATGGACTTTGCGCGGGCGCAGCTGGCACGTTGCGTCGAAACTGCGCGTGTGGAATTGTACGATTTGCCGCATCCTCGCGCCATAAAAACAGTGAAATGAAATTCAAAGTCGCGCCTGCCGAGAACATCAGGCTGGCCCTGCCCCTCTACCGAACTGGCAAATTCCACATTCGAGCTGCCGAGTCGGAAGCCTCCATGCACCAGGTGTGTGAAAACTGTTGGCCAGCAGTCGTGACCGACCAAAAAAATATCATGGCTTGGCGCCACGCTGCGGCTTGACGCCATGCTTTCGAACAGTGTGAGATCATTCATTGCCGCACGCCCGAAGCCCACGAAATTCATGGTTTGTGGGCGCAGAAAACCAAATCCACGAGTGGCAATTTAACGCGTTCGATCTCTGTGTTCCGCGCCCAGAACCATGAAATCATTTCGTTTGGCGCGAAGAACCACGAATTTCACTTTTCCATTTCCGAAAACCCACGAAATTCATGCCTTTCTTTTCTGGGAGCTCACTCGAGCCACGAATTTCATGCTTTCGAGCGGCGGGGCCTGCCTGCGTGAAATTTTCCCCGAGGGCCGAGAACCATGAATTTCATGCTTTCGATCTGCATCTGCGCGCTCTGACCTGCGCCCCAAATCCACGAAATCGCACAAATCCACGAAATTCGTGCAAATCCACGAAATTCGCGCAAATCCACGAAATTCATGCAAATCCACGAAATTCGTACAATTTCGCACTTTCAATCTGCTCAGGTCTGCCCGCCACGACCCATGAAATTCATGGCCCCTTGCTGGCGCAGAAAACCACGAATTTCATGCTTCCATTCCGCCCTGAAGGCTATGAATTTCGTGCTTTCGAGCTGCTGAGACTACTGCGCTGGAAACATGCAAATGAGTTGAAGATCGCTTCGGGGGCAGAGGGCCATGAGGCCCATGTCGGAAATATATAGGTCTCCAGTGTATTTTTGCAGCTCCGCAAATAAGTCCGCTTGAGACCCAGCGCAGGCCCCCTTCAGACATGCGAGCCGTGAAATTTCGTGAACTTGTAGCTAAGAATCGTTTATAAAGCCTCTGAAGCGTGAACAGTTCGTGAATTTCGTGAAGCAGCGCCCGCCACGTCTTGTGGCCAGTTGTCCACACACACGCGTGAAACTTTAAGGGGCCCGCGTGGGCAAGTGCCCATTGAGATGAGAGAGAGGGAGGGAGAGAGAGAGAGAGAGAGAGAGAGAGAGAAAGCCTGGAGCTCTGGGACTGAGAACTGTGAGTTGCGGCCAAGATTTGCTTTCGCGCGCGATGCATGGGCCACTGACGACGTGTGTTATTAAATATCGGGAAAGAAAATACCAAAGCCAGCCTATTACAATACTCCACGCGCGCAGCCATGACCATGTCGCGCACGAGTTGGAACGCGAAAGAAACTGTCTATATAGAACGTTAGCTTGCGCTGCAAAATGAGACCCTGTATACGTCAACCCTGCCGACAACTTTTAATCTGCACGCTCACCAATATACACGCGCAAGGCCTGTTTTGTTGCTGCCCTTTCCATTTTGTCTATAACAATTGCGCGCTTAAGCATTAAAAAGCTGTTTGCGATGCAGGTTTTTGACTTCACCGTCCAGCGTTCCTCGTAGTTGCTGGCTCTTTCGCGGTGCGGCGTCTGTTTCCTGCTTCATCAATCCAATATCCATTGTTTAGTTTCGATGGATGGCAGCGGAGGGGCAATGTATAGATATATACATTTATATATATATATATATACGACATTATACGACAAACTGCCACAGACCAGCAGTTGCCATTCCCCGCCGCTGTGAATTGTGGCCCATGCGTATACCATCGCCCGGAAATGGTTGGCCCACGCCACCTGGAGCCCTGCCGGGTGGCCAAGAAGAGCGCGCAAGGGAATTTGCTGGTCGAGGAGAAGTGCTTCGCGCTTGGCATGGGGCGGGCCCAGTTGTAAGCCTCCAAATTGGTAGAGTCGTTTCGCGCTGCGGCGTGGATGGGCGCACTCAGGAAAGAAGCGCGCGAAGACTGCGCAATCTAATTTGGAAGGTAAAGATAAAATTGCGGGGCAGCCCGGGTGCGTGGGAGGATGCGCGCTGATACGCGCCGTGGCCCAAAATTGTCACACGCCTTGCGCGCTGCACGCCATGACTTAACCACGGCGCAGGCTATGAGATGCCATAACTTTTTCCGTTTTTCGCTCGCAACACCCAGGCATACCCAGGCTATACAAACCTTGCGACGTATACCAAAGCATCCTCACCAGCGCAAAATTGAACTATAGAGCCTCGGGGTTGCATAAATCGATTATAGCAGCTCTCAACCTCTGTTGGAAGTTCTCTGATTTTCCGGTCACGCTTGAATTCGAAACTTTGGGTACCCGCATTTATACCTCTGCTAGGTGTGCCTTTGGTTTCTCGGAGGGATCCCTGAAGAAAATTCTGTGTGATATTGAAAATATTGGCGCCCTGCCAATCTCGATGTCCACGAGAGTCTTTTTGATTGGGTCCAAGGTCATCCCAAGACTTACCTTTGGCTCCCACATTTCTCGTGTTTTTGAAGGCTAAACTTGATGCGATTCAGAACGCCATTTCTCGTTGTATTTGGGGACGTCGGCCGAAGTGGAGGTCCAAGTGGCTAGTTCAAGCGGTGTTTGGCAAGCCTCATCGCACGGACCCCCGAACCGCCAGTGCGTATCATAATAATACTATTTTTGAAGTAATTAGGTCTTGCCATTCCGATCCAGCTCTCTTCCCAAAGCTACTGGCGACTCACAAAGCCCATCAAACGCTTCCTCATTCACTTGCCAGCAGGTTTGAAAATGCGCGCTCGTTCCTGAACATTCAAGTGTGTGATGAATTGCGTTTGTCGTTTTGTAAGTCTCAGCCTATATCTATCAAAGATTTGACCCCGCAAGATGTTCGCAGAATCTTGCAGGCAATTGCACGTGATGCGTGCTACAGACTTGCCAGTTCCACACCACGGAAAGACTTTGTCAAAATAGTTCAGGTCTTTGACCATGCCATGACTACGTCGTTCTTCCGATCTGCCAAGGTCTACGACAACGATGAGATCTCCAATCATCAGCGCCTTGAATCCGTTTTGGTGGGTTGTTGCCTTACCAACGACAGGATGGCTGCCACAGGCTGGAGTGACACGGCTGCCTGCAGATTCTGTGGAGGGGAAAAAGAATCCATGATGCACCTGGTACACCAATGCTCCTCCATCCGTGAGTCGGTGGGGCCCCCTGTGCTCCACGAACTTGGAAGCAATTTTGCTATGCTTGGACACGTGCATCAGCCGATGTTTGTTGTTCGCCGACGTTTGCTGCAGTTACAAGCGAGCACCTTGACCTTCTCCGCCGAATTCAACAGTGACAGCACTCGACAAGTGTGGACAGATGGGTCCCTGGTGTTTGGGGATAACGTGTGGCTGGCGACTGGAACCTATGCTGTGCTTGATGAACAACAAAACGTCATTCACCAGGGGCAAGTCAACCATCTTGCACTGTCCGCGTACTGTACAGAATTGTGGGCGGTTTTAGTTGCGGTGTTTTCCGCCACCACGAAGCTTGTCATTTACAGTGATTGCGCAGCCGTCGTGACAAAGGCGAGTCAGATTTTTGCGGGTGGCTCCCCTGATCCGAGTTGGAAATGCTATCACTGGTGGTGCTCTCTTACTCGGGTTGCTGCAGCGCGACGTGCGGCTACTGACAATCCGTTTTGCATTGAGTGGATACCTGCCCGTCTGTATGACCACATCCCCATTGAACTTGTCACGGAGGACATGGCCCGATGTGTTCACACAACGTTGCAGCACATTGCCAACAACAGGCTTGTTGACAGAGCTGCACGAGAGCTTGCAATACGGCTTGCACCGATTGATCCTCCAACTTTTAAGCAGAAGCTTGTTGCTGCCATTCACTCTCACCAGAAGTGGCTAATTGCGGAACATTCTCTTTTGCCGACCCGTGACCCGGACGCTGCTACTTCGAATGGTGTCCAGGAGCTGCCTGACAAGCTGACGGCATCGCAATGTCGACTAAGGTACCCACAGTGGGCTTGGGATGTCCCACTGACATCTTTTCGTTGGAAACCCAAAATCCCAGTCAACGTCCCATGTCCAGAAACATGGAAAAGTCATCCAGAGAACTGGAATGCAATCTGCACGTTCCTCCGAGGACTTAGGTGGAAAGAGACCCAAGATGCATCTTTTTCCTTCTGTGAACTTGCAGCTCTTTTTCATGCGAGTGGTGCTCGTGTGAAGGCAGATTCTGACTTGCTTACTTTCAGAGACTTGACCAATTTGATCCGTAAAACCATGCTCCTGCTTTCGAAGAATCCATGTGTACAGGCATTTCCGGGAAGCTTCAACTCGACCAAACCACGAAGTTGTGGTCGTGTGCTTCCCCAAGGGTGCATTGAGCATGCATCCCCCTTTGTTCCACCCGAAGGGTTCGAACTTGTGGCGAACTTGTTCGCGAGGGGCGCGAACCGCACCTTGGAGTCATGGGAGATTCCCGTGTGCGACTTTTGAGTCAGCCTGAGGCTGATCCTCTGTTATGTATCGACCTGTGCGTCGTGCATATGTCAGACGCGTTTCACGCGAGATCTGGCGCGAGAGGTAGTAAGTAGTAGTAAGTAGTAGTAAGTAGTAGTAAGTAGTAGTAA